GAGCGTGTGAAACTTTCTTGAACACCCCTTGAGCCTATCCTCCTTTGGAAGAAGCTTGATGAAACTTAGACTTTTTTTCATCCACTACCTATAATCCTCTTTAGATGTGTTTAGTGAATAGCCAACTTAGGCCAAAAGTCTAAGTTGGGGATGTGGTGAAAAGGAAAAGGAAAAGTCAAGAAGTGCAATAAAGTCTCCTGAACCTATTGTATTGACAAAAACAAAAATAGGGAAACCCTACCAAATAAAAAAAGAAGAAAAGAAAGAGAAAAGAAAGAAAGAAAAGAAAGTCGTGGAATAAAAGTGACAAAAGAAACTGGGTTTCCAAGCAATACATGGAGAACGAATAATAGGATGACTTATGAGCACTAGAAGAAAAATTGATAACGGAAGGGAAGATGATGCCTTGAGAACATCACATCTCATGAAGATGAAAGTCACTGAGCCTAAATGACCATACCTTTGCACTCAACCCCATTACAAGCCTTAGAAAGACCTTTGTGATTTATAGTAAGCCGAATCGAAAGTCAATTGGAAAATAAGGGCAAACATATGGGTGAAAGCATGCATTGTGTTCCTCTTTTTGAGTGTGAGCGTTGTATCTGATTCTTGATCTTACATTGACTCATATCTGTGTGTGAATATGGAATCATTATTTACGTGAGGGCATTTAGATACTTTTGTTGAGCTTGAACTTGCACAAGTAGCAAGTATTGCGAGCATGAGAATCTGTGGTAATGGTGTGTCACAATTGGAATCTTTGAGAACACAAGTGATCCTTGCATAAGTAAATTGAGCCTTGTTGTGTGCATTCATGATTTATTCTTGTATAGCTCCGTTTGAGGCACCCTATTTGAACTGCTGAGCTTGAGTTTGCTTGAGGACAAGAAAAGTTTAAGTTGGGGGTGTTTATGAGTCCACAAATTGGACTCGTTTAGGGCTTTATTTTAATAGAAATAGTGTGCTTGAATGCTTGTTTTATCTCAATACCTGATTAAAATGCTGAAGTTTCAAGTATTTAAAGTTTTAGTGGAAGCATAGACACTTAGGTTCAAAATGGAGCAAATAGGGTTGAAAAGAACAAGAAATGGAATCCTGAGGATTGCCGAGTTCAACTTGGCGAGTCGCCAAAAAGTCGTGAACCGCCCTTCGTTCTAGTACGCGAAGCCTTGAAGGAAGTAGATCAAAAGGCGAGGAAAGGAGCAGTCGGCGAGTCACCAATTAGTTCCGCGAATCAGCACTGTACCACCCAATGATCCAGAATGCAAGGATGCTAAAGGAAAGACACTGAAGGCGATGAGCTGACCAAAAGGCAGATCACTGAGTTCATTGGCGATCTCGACTAATGTCGCCGAACAATCCTCCGCAACAATCTGTGAAAATTATAAATACTAGTTAGAATTGTAGTCTGTGTTGAACATTTTTAGAGTAAAAATTATTATTAGGCTATAGTATTTTTCTCTCAAGTTTGGAGAGGGTTTTGTGGAGACTTGAAGAAAGGAGTTCTTTTTCCTGAAGTTGGAAGTGAGTCTTCTCTATTCACTTTCCTTTGCTTAATTCAAGGTTTAATTTCTTATACCCAGTTGATTTCATTATCATGTTAGGTATAATTTCTTATTTCTTGATGTGTGGCTAAAAACCCCCATTCCTGGAGTGTGATTTTGCAAATATGGGTTGATATTCTTGTTGGGTCTTGCTTGTTGATAGGTTAGATGTATGTTAATGGTGATTTCACCTAGTGGTTGTGGTTTAATCTAAAGGGTTTGTAGTTGAAAATACAAAGCCACCTATGTGTTTTCGGCTTGCCCGAGAAGGAGGTCGCGAAACCAAAACCACTAGACTGATGGCCTAAAGAGTGGGTCGACATGAGGTTTAGCCCGAGAGGGTGAGCCCTAGTCCCATATCCTAACACTCAGCTCGAGAGAGTGAGAGGGGTAAGGCGTAGGCTGGTTTTCATAGGGCAAATGGGTGTCTGAGAGGAACGCATTTGAAACGGGGTAAGTTGCCTGAGAGGGAACTTATTTCCATTTAAAGCTTACCCTAGTCACTATTATCTTGCAAATTTCCTATTGAAAGCATGTACCCAACAATTTATCTCAAATTGTATTACGGTCACATCCCTAGAACCTTTCCCCATACTTGATTTTTTTGTTTATTTTGCTGTTTGAGTACTTGTTACAAAACCCCCTTTGATATTTGACACTTTTGTGTCACCTCTTTTTAATTTACTATGTCTTTTATCACAAATGTCTTTAACTACGACTAACTTGAATGAAATTCTAATTGGTTATTAATTCTCAAAATCGCTCCCTTGGGACATGACCCCAAGTTCGGTTCGGTTACTATATTATCGATGATCGTAGACACTCATATCGTAGGATAGTGTCGTTGGTCACGATATGCATCAGACTCTCCGGGCTCAATCTACCTCAGGGTGGTGTCAAAAATCAAGGGGGCTAGCCAACCCTTTAGGTCATCTAGAGTCTTTCCAGTAGTCATACTCTGGTATTCGTGTACGAAATCCGTAGCCCTCAGAAATACAACGTTGATACAATCGCTGCTTGATGTGCCGCGAAATCTTGGCAGATTTGATGCTTGAAAACTAAGGATTAATACTAGAATTGAGTGTACTTTTTTATGCTTTGATGTGTTTGTTAAATGTATAGACAGATTCTTGCTTGCGTGAAAAAAATGGAAAAAGAAGAAGAATATGATTGTGATCAAGTTAAGACCACAAGCATCTAGACGGGTCGTAGTCCTTGTCAAGAACTGTAGTGCTAGACGTGAATTATTTCCAGTATGAAGGCTTGAAGAAGTTGAGATTATGTTGGACCAAGTAAGGATCACAGACAACGGTGACGGACAGTGGTCCCTATGACGGTCCGTTGAATTGCCCGTGGTACTTACCCAGTGTGTTGACCTTGAAGATCTAAAGTGGCAGAAGTGCCAAGTAAAGACCATGAGTGGCTTAACGAACCGTGAAGCCCTTGACGGGTCGTAGAAGTTGTCGTGAAGTGTCCGACAGTTCAGTCCTACTTCGAGTAGGACTCTTTTTAAAACACTTTTGTTTAAATTAATTAGGTCGTTTTTTAGTTTTTATCTCATCTTACCTTGAACGACGAACGGGTTTCATTATTCTTAACTTTTGGTTTTGAAGATTAATATTGAATTAAGTTTGGAAGTTGAATTTTTTATTCTTGAATTATCAAAGTACATATCAATTTACTTATCTTCGTAGTATTTTTCTCGTCATGTTTTAATTATATTCTTCTAAATGCTTACGTGAAATCATGAGTGGCTAGATACCACAACTTGGATTGTGGGATCTATGGAGTAAATCGAAGTGTAATTCCGTAAAGCGAGTGATAGGTGATTTATAGTTTCAAATTATAATTTAGCTTTCGTTATTCATGTATTCTAATGAGTGCACGCATTGGAGTGAGCATGTCTGTCATTTGTTCGAGAGAAAATGATAAGTAGGAAAAAGCTAAATTAACAGGAAGAAATGGAGTCAAAGTTTGAGTTCGAGAGAAAAGAACTTTAACACTATTGTAAACGAGGGTACAACTAGTAACACTCTGGGACCGAGAGGACTTGAGTGAAAATTATCTATTTAGACTGAGAAGTATCAGATATATTTAAATCGTATGTATTTTGTAGAAATAAATTGCCTGAAACTCAATTACAGAAGAACATTAGATGTAACGTTATGGGGAACACAATCCTAGTTTCATTTAATCATCGAAACAACTTTAGAACTTAAAACTCTGTAATTGTTAATCTGGATTTCATTACCAATTTTAGTTACTAGAACATCACAACTAAACCGATTTTACTTTCCATAACTGTTTCTTTAGGAAATAATAACGACATTTGAGTAAACGCGACAGTGAAATCATTTCTCTAAAGAAGTTCTATCAATTGATTTCGACCGTTTATATCTCTTAATTGAGGTGTAAGTTTGGACGTATCAAATTTTGGCACCGCTGCCGGCGAATTTCAATTCAGAAGTGTTTTACTAGCTTTTATTCTAGTTGTAGTTATCTTTCCTAATTTTACGTCCTGTTCTTTGTCTGTTTCTCTTCCAGGTGAGTTCAACAGTGTATGCCAAATACTAGAAATAAGGGAGCCACATTGATCCCATACGACCTAGAACTTCGGAACACACTTCGTAAAATGGTGAATGTAAAAGAACTTGAGGCTCAGAGGCAAAGACTGGGACTGGAAGCTAAAACCGCTGCAAGAGGTATGCATCAGAATGCTGTAAATAACCCGCCTAGGGTGGTGGAAGAAAACATAGAAGTGGATGAAATAATTCCTCTCCACGCTAACCAATAGCTCCAATGGGTGGAACACATCATCCAACTCACATGATGTATGAAGAGAATGACTTAGACATAGATGGAGCAGGAGCCACATGAGTGATAGTGTTACCTGCACTACCTCTAGGTGTGAAATTCAAAATAACCAGCACTATGATTCAATTACTGAATCTGAAAGGTATATTCATGGGTGAAGCTGGTGATGATGCTAATCAACATCTGATGAACTTTGTGGCGATTTGCAAATCATAAGAAATTCTTGGAGTTAGCCAAACAACGATGAGATTGAGGCTGTTTCCATTGTCTCTTACTGGAGAGGCAACCAACTAGTTGAATGAGATGTCGGATGACTCAATCAAGACTTGGACTGAGTTGAAGGAAGCTTTCCTAGAACGATTCTTTTCGGAATCAAAAGAGCTGCAAATGAAGGACGAGATAAGTGCCCATAAGCAGCTACCAGGAGAAGTGATGCATGCCACTTGGTGGAGATTCAGCCAAAAGCTGAAGAAATGCCTAAATCATGGTCTCACTGAGACATCTAAAACAAGCTTTCTATAGATCTTTGAATTATGTTACTAAACTTGTTGCTGATGCAGTATGTGGAGGATCATTTATGAGGAAGCCATTCTCAGAGAGCATGCAACTGATGGACGAGGTGTTGAAGAATAACAGGGCACTATGGATGCAAAAGTAGGAGATCTTGGGTACACTTTTGAACATTCAGCTGAACAAAGGAAAAGGGAAGAAGAAAGGGATAAGGACATGGCACACATGAGGACCCAAATAGATCTACTCACGAAGCATATTATTTCAAAGTCTAAAAAGGTAAATGCTGTGGGACAGCTAAACAGGTATGAAGATTAGGATATCGATCTAGATGAGAAGGCTAATTACCTGGGCAACCAAGGAGGTTTTCAAAAATTTAACTTAAGAAACTAGGGTTACAACTCTAGAAACGCAGGTCGGAACTACTCTAGAGAAGGACAATATGATAGGCCAGCAAACAGAGAGCAGGGAAAATGGCAAAACAGAGATAGGTACATAAATGATCGAAGTGGTGTGTATGTGTCCCCAGGTAATAGAGACCGGGTAAGTGGTAGTTCCAGTGGGTCTAAATTGGAAGCCATGTTGGCCAAGGTGCTCTAAAAGATTGAATCAACTGATGCAGGAGTGAAGGAGATGAAAGGTGATTTCTCCAGTATGAGTCAACTGGTAGACTCTCACACCACCTCCATCAAGCAAAGTGAGCAGCAGTTGGGGCAACTTTCAGCCTCATTAAATCAGAGGAAGAATGGGTCACTACCAAGTGACACGATCCAAAATCCTAAGATGGATGGGCATTGCATGGCTATCGCCCGCAGGAGTGGTAAGATTCTTAATGACCCAATTTATGTAGGTACTAAACATGAGCAGGTGTTGGAGCAAGGTGGAAGAGAAGAGGATGAAGCTGAACAAGTAGATGAATTGGAGGATGCTCAACCAATAGCAAAACCAGCAGGAGCAAAAAGAAAAAGAGGTTGAGGGAACTATGCCTTTACATCAGATCCCAAGACCACCTCCTTCTTTCCCTCAAAGGCTTAAAAAGAAAGCTGAGGATGGGAAATTCACAAAATTAATCACCATGCTGAGATAGCTAACAGTGAATATCCCACTGGTGGAAGAACTAAAGCAGATGCCAAGATATGCCAAGTTCATGAAAGACTTGGTCACAAAGAAAAGAGCTATAAGTATTGATTTGACTGATAATGTTCAGCACTGTAGTGCTATTGCTACCGGGTCTCTGGCACAAAAGAAGGAGGATCCGGGTGCATTCACCATACCGTGCACCATCAGATTAATCGAATTTGCAAAGGCCTTGTGTGATTTAGGAGCCAGTATAAACTTGATGCTGCTGGCCATCTACAAGCAATTGGGGTTACAATGATGGCAGGTAGGTCATTGAAGCAACCTGTGGCCATCCTATGTGATGTACTCGTAAAGGTGGACACGTTCATCTTTCTGGCAAACTTCATAATCTTGGAATATGAAGTGGATTTTAAGGTTCCCATTATTTTGGGAAGACCATTTCTGGCCACAGGATGAGCATTGGTAGATGTTGAGAAAGGAGAACTGTAATTCAGACTCAACAAAGAAAAGGTAAAGTTTGATATTTACAGGTCAATGAAATAACCACATGACATGAATGTGGTGTCAGCGATAGAGGTTTTTGATGAAGAAGAGATTGGAGCAACCATTGAGGAAAGGCTGGCTGTTGAAACATTAACAGCCGTTTTGATGAACTTTGAAGCTGATTTTCGGTCTGACTATGTAGAGACCGTGAATGCTTTGCAGGTAATGGGAGCACACGCTTATGCTCCAAAGAAACTGGACTTGGATTTGAAAAATAGGCCAAGTCCTCCAGCAAAACCATCTATTGAGGAGCCACCTGTGCTGGAACTGAAACAGTTACCCAGTCACCTGAGGTATGTATTTTTGGGACTAACAACACTTTACATGTGATTTTGGCTGCAGATTTGAATGATGAATAGGTTCAAGCTGTGATCAAAGTGTTGATAAGGTACAAGAGAGCTATTGAGTGGACCATTGCTGACATCATCAGGATACCTCCGAGTATATGCACCCATAAGATCCAACTTGAGGAAGACTGCAGACCAAGCATTGAACACTAGTGGAGGTTAAACCCACCTATGCAAGAGCTGCTTAAAAAGAAGATCATCAAGTGGTTAGATGCTGGGGTGGTATACCCGATTTCTGATAGTCACTAGGTTAGCCTAGTGCAATGTGTTCCCAAAAAAGGTGGTATGACTGTGGTTGCAAACACAAAGAATGAGTTGGTCCCACAAAGACTAGTCACTGGATGGAGAGTGTGCATGGACTACAATAAGTTGAACAAGTGGATCTTGAAGGATCACGCCCTGATGCCATTCATCGACCAGATGTTTGACATGTTGGCTGGAAAAGGGTAGTAGTATTTCTTAGATGGATACTCTAGCTACAACCAGAAATCAATTGCTCCTGAAGATCAGGAAAAGACCACCTTTACATGTCCTTATGGCACCTTTGCATTTAAACGCATGCCATTTGGACACTGTAATGCACCAACAACTTTCCAGAGGTGTATGATGTCTATCTTCTCGGACATGGTGGAGGACACTCTGGAGGTCTTCATGGATGACTTTTCAGTGGTAGGTGACACCTTTGATGACTGTTTGTTTAATCTTAGCAGCACCCTACAAATATGTGATGAGGCTAATCAAGTGCTGAACTGGAGAAGTGCCATTTCATGGTTAAGGTAGGCATAGTCCTTGGGCACAAGGTGTCACAAAAGGGATTAGAGGTCGACAAGGCCAAAATTGAGGTTATTGAAAAGTGGTCTCCGCCTATCTGTGTGAAGGGTGTTCGAAGTTTCTTAGTACTTGCTGGATTCTATAGGCGTTTCATCAAGGATTTCTCAAAAATTGCACACCCAATGTGCAAGCTTTTGGAGAAGGAGGTGAATTTTTTTTTTGATGAGGCATGTCTCAAAGCCTTTGAATGCCTAAAGGAGAAGCTGATTTTTGCCCCAATGATCATTGGCCCAGATTGGGCTGAGCCATTTGAGGTAATATGTGATGCTAATTGTATTGCTTTAGGAGTTGTATTGGGGCAGAAGCGCAACAAGATGTTTCATCTGATTTACTATGCTAGTAAGTCACTAAATGGAGCCCAGCGAAACTACACAGTTACTGAATAGGAACTACTGGCGGTGGTGTATGCTTTTGAGAATTTCATAGCTTACTTGCTAGGTACTAGAGTGATAGTCAATACGGATCATGTAGCTTTGAGATACCTCATGCCAAAGAAATATGCCAATCCAAGGTTGATCAGATGGGTGTTACTTCTTCAGGAGTTTGATTTTTAGGTTAAGGATAGGAAAGGTTGTGATAACCAGGTGGTTGATCACCTGTCTAGGTTGGAGGCTGAAAAGAAAGAGGAACTCGAGCTTGAAATAAATGATTCATTCCTGGATGAGCAGGTATTAGCCTCTACTCTTGATCTCATTCCTTGGTTTGCTGATTTTGCTAACTTTCTTGTTAGTGATTTGATGCCTGAGGGGCTGACATTTCAGCAAAGGAAGAGGTTCCTACATGATGTAGGTAAGTATTTCTGGGATGAACCTTATTTGTACAAAGTATGTGCTGACAATATCATTAGGCGATGCATCCCTGAAGCAGAGATGTTGCCCATTCTAGAGGCATGTCACTCCTCTCCAGTAGGTGGCCATCATGGAGGTGCTCAGACAACCCACAAGATACTGCAATGTGGGTACTACTGGACTGGCCCATAATTCATCAGGATGCGATGGACATAGTAAGGAGTTGTGATGTGTACTAGCGGCAATGAGCCATCTCTCGGCGTCATAAGTTACCCATGACACCTATTCTGGAGGTGGAATTGTTTGATGTGTGGGGAGTCGATTTCATGGGCCCATTTATGAGCTCCTATGGGAAGAAGTACATATTGGTGGCACTGGACTATGTGTCCAAATGGGTTGAGACAGTTGCTTTGCCTGAGAATGATGGCAAGAGTGTTGCTGGTTTTCTGAAGAAGAATATCTTCTCAAGGTTCGGCACATCCAGAGCTATCATCAGTTATGACGGTTCTCATTTCTGCAACAAGGTATTCAGTGCACTTCTGGCCAAATATGCGGTTAAACAACACAATGTGGCAACTCCTTATCATCCGCAGACCAGTGGCCAAGTGGAGGTGTCCAATAGAGAGATTAAGACGATTTTGGCTAAAATAGTGAATGCCAACATGATAGATTGGGCACAAAAGTTAGATGATGCTCTATGGGAATATTGTACAGCTTTCAAGATGCCTATTGGTATGTCTCCATATCAATTGGTGTTTGGAAAGGCATGTCATTTGCCGGTTGAGCTTGAGCATAAAACACTCTTGACTTTGAAGAAGCTGAATCGCAGTGGGAGCAAAACAACAAACCTCGTACTGGATCAAATTAATAAGATGGATGAGTTTCGTTTGAGAGCATATGAGAGGTATGTACAAGGAGAAGATGATGATGTATCATGATAAGCATATTGAGAATAGAACCTTCACTCTTGGTGACTTGGTGTTACTTTTCAATTCTAGACTTCGTCTGTTTCTGGGGAAGTGGAGATCTAAATGGTCTGGACATTTTAAGGTAACTCAGGTATTCCAGTCAGGAGCTACTGAACTAGAGAATGACAAGGGAGAGAGGTTCAAGGCTAATGGACAGCGAATCAAGGCATACTTGGGGGTTCCAGAAGAAGTGAAAATTATGGAGGAATGTAAACTTGATGAAGTTTGAGTAATCAAGTAAGCTGCGTCACGCCGAGACTTTAAATTGTGCGCTGCTTGGGAGGCAACCCAAGATTGTAATTTTAATTGGTACTTTCCTTTTCCTTATTTTTCTTTGTTTTTATAGTCACTACGTGTTGATGTGTGCAGAAAGGAGTGGACTAAGACTCGCAAAAACTGAGTGCAGATAGTTTTTCACGAGCAGTCCCACAGGCAACTTCACGGCCCGTCATCCTCTGCAGCAGCCAAAGGATGCTACTAGATATTGACATAAAATGGTTCACGGAAGGGTTCACGGTCCGTCATAGTTTGTACGGACCGTCTAGTCTCTTGTGAACCTCAAGTAAGTGCATTTTGTTCAAGTCATATTCACGAACCACTATACGGACCTGGTGCCCATCATGGGCAACTTCACGGTCCGTCGTCCCTGATCCAGAATGTCTGCAACCCTACCCGACCCACGCGTAAGGAAGAATTGAAATTATACGTATATAGGTTGTTTCCAATGCCAAAGGTCAGTATTTCTTCTCTTTTTCCTCTTCCACAAAGGTTACTCAAAGGTTATAAAGGTTTGCATCATCTACAAGTTCTAAATTCATAAAAGAAGTCGCAACCCTAGTTCTACGGATTAATCACTTGAAGCCAAATTCATTTATTCTGTTTTTGGGTGAGAATTTTGATACCATTCAAAGTAAGTTTACTGTTAACTTGTTATAAACATGAACTTATCAATCAACAAGTTAAAACTACCTTGATTGTGTCGAATTTGAGCATTATTGTTGATGAATGATTATTGGTGATTCCTAATTGTTGTGGGTTAGTTTGAATTGCATAAATTTGATTGTTCTTGTATGTGGGTATGATCACCGTAGGTCGTGATTGTGTTTGATGTAAATGATGATTGATATATGTGTTAGAGTGATTGAACTCATGTGCTAATAGATCTTGTAACTTCCTGATGAGGTGAAATTGGGCATAGGTTGTTGTTGGAAGGAAAGAGTACTGAAAAAAGGGCCAAGTGTAAGTCCATGATGGGCTTCACGGACCATGGAATCAACTACGGGTCGTGATACCCCTTGTGGACCACACTTGGACAAAAGAGAAGTACACTGGGGAGGACCACAATGGTCTTCACGAACCGTGGTTCACTCCTCGGACTGTGAAGTCGTCCGTGATCCATTCCAGTACACTGACCCTCATAGTTAAGTCACTATTTGATATTCATGAGGGCCTTCACGGACCGTGGTACCCACCACGGCCCGTCTTGGCTTCCGTACAAAAACATAAAATAAAAAAATTTAGTTTCACTTTCTATATTTTTATTTCTTTTATGTAGTTTGATTTTGTGGCCCTTCCCAATGATAGATTGGGTGATGACTTTCTTAAGGCAAGGCGTCACTTTGTAATTACACAGGGAAAGTCTGAGTACCCGACAGTGTGTTGTTTTACTGAATTGCTTATTAATGGGTGGTTGCATTGTTCAGGTACTATGGCACCCCGAAGAAAAAATACAGCTACACCTTCCTCACCTACTGCTTCGCAATTCGAAGGTGATCAAACTCAGGAATCTGGTAGTTCGGAAGTACAGATAAATGTTACACCGGAAGATCACCCACCTCAATCTACTAGATCCAGAATAGCGAGGGTCATTCTCCAAGACACACCTCCCAGTCTGAAGAGGGAGGTAGTAGTTCCGGTAGTGGTGAGGAATCGGGAAGTAAATCTAATGCTGGTTCAGGTAGCCAGTATGATGATGGTTTGAGAGGCAGTGCAAAGTCCAAAAGTGGCTCTCAGGAAGATGCTACCACACCTCCACCTACAGTCAACACCGAAGCTAAAACTGGAGCGCATGATGAGCCAGGTACATTAGGAGAAGATAAACAAATTACCACTGATGACACCATGGTGCGATATGTGAACATCCATGAAGTTGATACCGTAGTGAGATAACAGCTGATTGACTGTTTCCGCTCTATGTGGACTGTAAACAGGTGCGAGGACTTCTTTAATAATGGAATTATGACCAAGTCTGGTAGTTTTAATAAGAGATCAATCATGCTTGAGACTAGAGTGGTGGTGGCTGATATCAAAGCATTTCCCGATATTTATCGGATCTTCAAGTTTCATTAGTTTGACTGGATGAATAATGCACCTGGAGACTATTCTATCCATCTAGAAAGAGAGTTTTATGCGTCTTATGCAACCACATTGATGAACTTTACTACAGAAACTGAGACAACTAAATGGGGACAAAAGGACATTGCCATTACTTGGGGTCCACTCAACTCAATTATGGTTCAGGGAAAATCGATAGATATCTTCAAAGCTACTATCAACAGGAAGTTGCATGGCCCGGAATACACTACACCAGCTTCAGTTGGACTTTTTGAGGCCAAACATCATGAGGTCACCAGTGATACTACGATGGAGATTCAGAGTTCTCGAGAGAGAGTCTTGCGTTGGATTGCGAGGCAAATCGCTGTAGATGGGGAGAATGCAGTTTGGGTCACAACAACGCCAACATTCATTACTAAAGCTTCACTATCTTTTCCGGCCAAGGTTTGGTGGGCTATTTTCCGTGCACAATTGAGACCGACAACTAATGATAATACCTTGTCTTCTTCACAGGCCTATTTGGTAGCGTGGCTTATGGTTGGTTACCCGGTAAATGTGGGGTAGATTATAGCGACTGAGATGAGAGACATGGCACTGAATGAGAGAGGCTGACTTTCATTTCCCTGTCTCATAGGGAAACTATGTCGCAAGCGAACATTCCCCCACACAGGCTAGTTGATAGATTGGGTGAAGCATTTAGACTTACCCAAGCTTCTAAAATCAAAGATATCGCGAACCATCTTTTTAATGCAAAATCTGGAGTTGTGGGTTCTTTTGTTGTTGTTCCTCACGTCCCAATTGACATTCCACATGCGGATAGAGGGCTGAGCAGGGGGAGTCGTCACAACCATTTACAGAGGCACCACCACCACCACCTTCGGCCTCATAGGCTTCAGGTACCTTTGTCACTACCCTATTCTTTTTCTTGAGAAATTGGTTGCAGATCAGTGCCAGACCAGGACCTTAGTCGTCCAGATTGTACATTGGATGCCCCAGCAAATAGAGTGAGATGTGTTAGCTGTGAAGAAAGAGATAAAAGATGAGATACGGAAGGAGCTGGCTGTCTTAAAAGATAGGATGGATGGTTTGGAGATCCTTGTCCAGGATCGATTCCAGGCTGCCAGTTCAGTAGATACTAAAGAGTTCAAATCACAATTGGCTGATATGAGAGTTCAGGTTGCTAAACTAGCTGAAAAGCTAGTACAGATGCCCACTCCGATCATGCCATATTCTTTGATGCAATTGCTCAGTCAGGCACCCTCCACTCAATCACTTGATGATTTCTGGGGTGAACTACCCAACAGTAAGTCCGGCAAGAGGAAATACAAAGCTGGAGAATTAGATGAGGAGCTACCTACTGACCTGTCTAGAGAGGAAAGAAGGCAACAAAAAAAAGCCTGCAGGGCATCAAGGAAGGAAGTTCGAGAAAAAGAAGCACTTGAGCAACAACAGAGAGATGCAGTGCTAGATGGAGCTTCTGGTAGCGGAGTACCTATCCCGGTGAGTGGTAGCCAGCCTCATCATGCGCTGGGTTCTGAGAGTGCACCCATTGATAAGGTTACCAATGCTGATCCGATACCAGCGCCTAGAGCGCCGTATGTATGACCCCTCCTCATAGCCCTATTTTGATTTTCTTCATTGACTTTAACGGTAAAGTCTTTTTATTTGGGGAGAGGGAGGTTAGCAACCTTCCATTATAGCTATTAGGTTGAATCTGTGTGTATTATGTGAACATCATGGTTTTGTTTTTGTTGTGATAAGAATATGAAGTGTTTGTGTGTTGAGCTGTGCAACAACTAGTCTGTGAAAAATGAGGACCTTAATCTGAAATTTGACTATTAGGATATTTAGATGACATCTTAGATACTTACATGTTGAACATTGCTAGTT